TCCTGGTACATATTTCTCTAATTTCAGTAAAACTCCTAGCGCCCTGACTTGCCCACTTCCCTCCCATTTTCAGTCAACATTATCTTTTGTATTTCCTTGTTCCTGGTCACAAGTTTAGATTATATTCCTATTTCCCTTCAGTTAGGTGGGACCAAATGACTAAGTGAAGATCAATGGAATGGAAATGAAAATGTCATTGCTAGGCTTGTTCTTGAAAATCTCCCTCACTCATGCTTCTTTCTCTTTCTTATTTGCTAGAAAAATGAAGAGAATTCCAAAGACCATGCATGACTGACCGTGTGAAGCAGGGCTGTTCCCATTTCAATGACCTTCATGGGATTGTTACTGCAGGTTGAGTTAAACTGATGTTATAGTAAGCTACTAAAATTCTTGGGTTGTTTGTTACTTGCTTGGCCTGTCCTGACAAATACATCAATCAAAACCATTCATATTAGATGACATAATCTTTTATTTCAACCTATCTCTCTTTAAAACTTTAACTCATCTTCTCTCCTGACCATACATGCTGCCTCCCTAAAAAGACCCCAGCTCAGGACATCAATTTCTTGGTCTGCTTTCTCTGCGTCCTGCTACCTTCTAGCTGTAGAGTAGAAGAGCAATTCACAAGACCAAGAGGACTGATGCTACTTTAGTCCCCAGTACTGCACAGAACCTTCTACCAGCCCAACTATTAAACAACTTCCCCAAAGTTTCTGGACTCTTTGGAAACATTTAATACTATTGTACCTTTCCCTTGAAATAACCTCCAAGACCTTGAAATGTTCTCTTCCCTTGGCTTTCATTCTACTACTCTCCAAGTTTTCCTACTTATCTCATCAGTTCCTAGACTAATTTTAAGTTCCTCATTCTTCTGGACTCTTCTTTCTACATCATTCCTTCTATATGCTCATCCTCTGTAGGTAATTTCATGGCTTCAGCTACCAAGTATACATTGAAAACTGTAAAACTTCTATCTCCAGTGTAGACAAGTCTTGAACCTCAAACTCTACTGATGTCACTAACAGGCACAAAAAATATATCCCAGACTGCAATCACCACCTTCTTCTCCCTTTGCCCCTGAAATCTGCTCCTCCTACTTCTGCACTCCCAACAGTAGATCCCTTAGCCATAGCCTAGGAGGAGGATTTAATATCCCCAAAACGATTTCTAACTCTTTCTACCTGCTAAACGTTCCTAAATGTTCCTTCTCCTACATACCTCCTACTATTAACATTTGTATTTTCTTAACGAAATTACTTCAAAAACCTCTTCAAAAATTTCCATCTCTCTAGTTTTATTTCTCCAAACCATGTCTTATGGCTGACACACAGACCTTTCTAACATACAAATCAGATGGTAACCCTTCTTTATTGGAAATCCTTCAGTTGCTTCCTACTACCTTTGGAATAGGTTCTGTGTCTTCTAAACTCTATACATTTTTATACAACTTCCCAGTGGACTTTTATGCCAATCTCCCACAGTGATTCATACTCAACAAATACCCTTCTGATTCCAAAACTGGATTTTTCACTATGTTCCTTTCTCCATTAAGAGCACCACCATCTCACCTGTGCTTAAATCATATATCTGAACAGCATTGCTAATGATCCCCAGATGTCTCCCCAACACTCATCTCATCACACTTCCTTTGGATTCTTCCTATTTAATTCTCCCAAACTCATGAGCTCGTCCTTGAATCCAGTATAGATAGCCTGGCCCAGATCACCATAATCTCTTGTCAGCAACAGCCTCCTGACTAGTCTTCTTTTTCTAACCTTGTTCTGCCTTCAGAACTTTCTCCACACTATAAGAAGGAGTTTTCTAAAACATTAATATGATCATGCCTAAAACCTTACAATGATATTCCACTGCTTTAAGCATCATAAAAAAATATCATTAATGGAGCTTAGGTCCTAGTGAAGAAAGATAAAAAATCCTATATAATAAAAGCCTAATAGGCTAAGTGTCCAGTCATCCATTCAACCAATCAAAGCATAATATGCTAATGATATGCTAAGGCCGCTCAACCGCTCGCTATGACATGCACTGACCACCAGGAGGCAGACGTTCCAACCGGTCGATTAGTTTGCTGCTGGGGTCCAGCTGATCAGGACTGAGCGAGTCAGACCAGACACACCCTGGAGCTCTCCCATGGTCCCTCCACAGCTGGCCAACCTCCCTCCCCAGCCCCAATCGTGCACCAGTGGGGTCCCTCGGCCTAGCTGTGCCCTCTCGCAACCTGGGACCCCTCGGGGGATGTCGAAGAGCTGATTTCGGCCCAACAGTGGAAGGACCAGGCGCTATGATGCGCACTGAACACCAGGGGGCAGATGCTCAATGCAGGAGCTGCCCCCTGGTGGTCAGTATGCTCCCACAGGAAGAGCACCCCTTAGCCAGAAGCTGGGCTCATGGCTGGCGAGTGCAGTGGCCGTGGCAGGAGCCGCTCCCGCCTCCGAGGCAGCGCTAAGGATGTCCAACTGATGGTTCCCGAACTGTGAGAGGGCGCTGGCCAGGCTGAGGGACCCTCCCCGCCTGAGTGCACAAATTTTGTGCGTAAGATGATAGTAAGACACTGGGGAGGGGTGTGTGATTTTAGTTCCAATGGTCAGGGCCAACCTTTCACAGAAATGATGTCTCAGTGAGACCTGGAGGATCAGAAAGAACTAGCCTTGAAGAAGGAAGCAGTCTTCAGTTTTCTTACTTACCATCATCCTCACTGGGCTGTGAGCTCCCTGAGGACAGGGCTGTGACTTAGTCATCACTGGCTTAAACACCTACCACAGTTTTTATCACTCAGAGTGTTTCAAATACATGTTTGATGAACGAAGGGATAAATGAAATTAAGTTTAAATTTACATTTTTGATCGGTCCAACCTGAAGCTAATTGTGTACTCATAAATTTCTGTACATTTGCAGACATCAACTTATAAAAGTTGTAAGCAAATTCCTAAGTAGAAAAAAGCAATTGGAATTTAGACTTTAAAGAGGAGTTTTGCTTTCCTTAAACCCCTCTAACATATTTCAGTATAGATCCTGCATAGCAATCCTTCCAACCCAGAGCCTTAAATGCATATTGGAATGGATGAACCACTTGCTAGGATCCTGCAGAATTTTCAGCCCACCAACCACAAAAGTCGGCATCAGTCAGCAGGCTGGGCTCCATGGCTCCCTGGCTTTGAGCCTCTTGACTGATAAACTGTATTAATACAAACCCAAATCAACATCAGATATTCAAATTCAAAAGGAAAATGTTTTCAAGACATTATGATTCATTTCTGCTAAGAAGGAAAAAAATAAAGGATTCCTAAACTATATTGTATTGCTTTTAATTACTGGATTTTACTCTGAAAAATAAGACATTCAGGTTCATAATCCATTACATGCAAAAAAAAAAAGTTTTTTAAAACAAATTTAGCAGCAAAACCTGACAACATGAAAGTATTTCTATGTCTCATTTAACCTATCTGGTGTGACTATTCATTTGTCTCACTACAGAAAAATAATGTGTTTAATTACAGGGTGCTATCTCTGACCCCACAGAAATATGTATTGCTTTTCTAACATAAAATTAAAAAATTTGACTTTCAAGGCACAACTGGACCCAAGAGGTTGGGATAAAGTACCTGTATCCTATGATAACAGTCCCCCCCAATTCTATTATCTTTGGATTTATAAAACTTTCAAAATGTATGGGCTTGGAAATACTCAGCAAAAGTAAAGTCATAAAAACACATTAGCATGATTTGAGCATTTGGAAGTAATATAATTGGTAACTGGTTCAGAGTTTCCTTTCAGATCTGATTTAGAGTATGTATTTATGCCACTGTATCATTGCTTTTCCAATAAGTAATGTACTTCCATGAGGAAAGTTTTATAGGCAAATCCTTTTTCTGCACATTGCAATCTTTGGAATAATGTGTCATGGCTTCTAATTTTCCAGTGCTTCATTCTTCTCATCTTATAACTTTTATTATTTTCTTATACTTTGTGTTTTCTCCCAAAAGTTTGAAGAAGTAGCACCTACCTGCTGGGAGCAAGGTATCTGCTCTTTACAGGTCACAAACCCAGGACCCAGCTGCAAACCTCATTGTGTATATTACATCAGATCCTCCCATTCACCCTGCAGAAATCTTTTCTATTCTTCCCATCACGTAGCTGAGCAAACTCAGGCTCACTTTGTCCAAGCTACTAAGTGACGGGTCATAATTTGAAGCAAGGGATGTCTAGCTCCAAAGTCCGTTTCTTCCAAAGCAACATGGAGCAAATAACTGGCCCATGCTCCTATCTCATCCTCCACTGTGCGTAGTTGGAAGGAAGGAAGACTTTAGGGCTGCTTCATCCATGGTAGAAATGAGAGTAGAATCATTCCCCAAAAAATGATTGTTAGAATTTGACAGAATCTTTACACTTTCATAAAATGAAGATAGAGTATCTAGTTTTAAAAGATTCAACTCTAAAGCAATATAAAATTGCAATCAATGTAAATTTGGTTTTGTTTTATTATTTTAAAAAAATAACTACAAATAATTGGAATTTGGGGAGGTTTATCAGCGAATATAACAAATCAGATGTTCAATATTCACCCACCTTGTAGGAGCATCATCGACATTTATTGGAAATAGTATTATACAAAGGCTTACACCATATAACAACATAGCATAAAAGGACAGAGATGGAGATCATTAATGATTTTAATTATTTTAAGGCCCATTAAAATTAGAGAAATACCAAAGCACCCACAATGTTAAGGGTTTATTATTACAGCATTTTAGAGTTTACTAGTTCATACCTTTCAATCACAGCAAGTTATTAGCAGTGAAGGGATGAACGCTCTTAAGAGGATTTTTATTTCAATGATAGGGTGTTATGGACAAGACAACCTAAGTTTAAAAAAAAATTAGTAGCAAGCGCTAGTTGAGTTAATCAGTTAAAGACAAAACTGTGCCCATGGGAAGCTAAATGAAAAAGCAACAGTAAAGCTTACAGAACTTAGCTCGTACAATTTGCCTTGAAGGCGGAAGATTGGTTCCCTGAAATAGCAAAGAATTATATGCTTTAGTTCAGGAAAAAAGTTTTTAAAATAAAGTCTGTTATTACCTCTTCTCCTTTCAAAACAATGGGAAAAAATCTAGAGCAGAGGTTTCAATTTGTTCAATAATTGTACCTCTGCATTAAAAAAAAAAAACAAACACTTTAAAGTCATCATTGTTTTGACTTGAAAAGAAATAACAATGCAAATATTCATTATCACATAAAACATAAAAGCAGCAGCAAACTATTGGAGTTAATGCAATCTCTGTAGAGCGCTATTAGAAACAGCGGGTCAGCCCAAAACGCAAAACTCAAAAGATCAGATCTTCTGAGGAATTAACATCTTTATTAACCAACAGGAATTGGGTGTGGCAGCAGTGAAATGCAACAACTGCCTTCTCTATGAGCTGTCCCTTCACTGTTATCAAGCTGTGCAAACGTGTGAACTAGTCAGCAGCATCAGAAAGCTCATGCAACTATTCACCATATTTTAACCTTAAACTGACTCACAGATTTGATGTTAAATCAAGCCTACTGGTAATGTAAGCAAGCAAAGTAGGACATAAGGAGTCAAATTTGAAAAACAGAGCAAATAGCAAAGAAGTTATTTAAAATAAATCAATAGGGTTAACTGCATAGTGTAGCAAAATAATGAGAAGAAAGAAAAACAAACAATTCGCTCTAAAAACTTTAAAAGCCAAAACAAAACCAAACTGAAAGCTGCATTTCCAACAAAATTTGCGCAGGATTAATTTGCATTTTTTAATAGTCAATCAAGCAATTTAGTTCAAACTCACTGGGGCATGCATGCACTAATTCTCTTAAGCAATTCCTACCTGATTTCCAATTGTGTTTTTCTTGTGAACCTGACTGCTCCTCTGCTGAGCACTGAGAAAAGCAAAGGAGAGCAGCACTGAAGAAACGTGTAAGATTTTTTTTTTCTGAACAAGTAACAGATACTAAAATATATACAGGCTTTAAAAAAAATGTATCAACAACTGAGGCAGAGCTAATATATCAAAAATTCAGGACACTATTCTGAAGCAAAACCAACTCAGTGGAACTCTTAGTCCCAATTAACAGTCACAAACCAAAAACACAGTAACACCACAGGAAGCATAGCTGCACTGCTGCATCAATAACAATAGGAGTTCAGGCAAGTATTCGGGACGTCCTGCAGGTGTGCAGAGTAGATGTACTGAAAATGAACAGTTAGTAGTTATTAAGTATATGCCATGTTCCAAGCGCTTTACAGATATTAGTGATTTTAACTAATTTTACCCTGTGAAGTAGTTACTATTATTATTTTCGTTTTACAGATGGGGAGACTGAGTCACAGAGTAGCTAAATGGATTTCCCAAAGTTACTCAGCTAATAAGTAGTTGGCCTCCAGATCCCAAACTCTGTGACATTTTACAATCTCATTGCTTTGAATTCCACTATATTCTGACAACTCCCATAGAACAAAGCCAGCTTGACCCATCTCCCCAAATCTAGACTCATATACGTTTTTGATAACTCAACATCGCCACTTGGATGTCCACAAGGCCCTACTCAGCTACCCCCACCCTCCGCTCTTTGAGTCATCTCCTCCTACTCTCCATCTCCCTCATTGGAGAAGTTCAGCCACACTGATCACTATTTTTTTAAACCCACCCAGCATATTCCCATCTCAACGCCTTTATGCTAGTTGCTCCTTCTGCCTAGGTAAGCTTCCACCAGATATAAGCATATTTCCTGACATCGCCTCCTTCAAGTCTTTGTTCAAGTTTATCTTTTCAGTGTTCCAGGAACATGACTACTCTGTTCAAAACTGCATCCTTCCCTTCTTCTAGGACTCTCATCCCCTTTACACTATTCTATTTTTCTCTATGGCATTTTTCGCCTTCACGTGTACTATATAATTTATTAAATTTTTGTGTGTTTATTGTCTGTCTTCCTCCATTAGAATGTGAGCTCCTTGTGAGCAGCGGTTTTTGTCTATTTCATTCGTTGCTATATCCCCAGTGCCTAGAACAGTGATGGCGAACCTATGACATGCGTGTCAGAGGTGACATGTGAACTCATTTTTTTGGTTGATTTTTCTTTGTTAAATGGCATTTAAATATATAAAATAAATATCAAAAATACAAGTCTTTGTTTTACTATGGTTCCAAATATCAAAAAATTTTTATATGTGACACGGCACCAGAGTTAAGTTAGGGTTTTTCAAAATGCTGACACGCCGAGCTCAAAAAGTTCGCCATCACTGGCCTAAAAACTACCTGGCACACTGTAGTAGCTCTAACAAATATCTGTTGAATAAGAAGCCCAGTGAGGTCGACACCATTACAACATGACGCCAGGGGTTAAGAGCCAGAGATGACCCCAACAATTTAACCCCAGAGCCCACATGTCCAGGCACTGTGTTCCTCTATCAGTCAAAAGAATGAAGGCTTTCTGCCTGGCCCGTGTAGTTCAGTGGTTGAGCGTCAACCTGTGAACCAAGAGAACACTGGTTCAATTCCCAGTTAGGGTACATGCTCAGGTTGTGGGCTCTATCCCCAGTAGGGTGCAAGAGGGTAGCCAATCGATCTTTCCCTCTCATTAATATTTCTATCTCCCTCTCCCTTCCTCTCTCTCTCTAAAATCAATTAAAAAACATTTTAAAAAAAGGTATGAAGGCTTTCTTTTGGTAAATCAATGAGTAAACATCTATTGATATAAGAAAACTAAACTTATTTTGGTTATTCTGAGAAGATTAATAATACTGAACCCTCTAGCTGGTAGTTTCATAGTTCTTAAAGGCTGTTTTGAAGATGGATGAAATAGTCCAAAACAGAGAAAAAGCTCAAGTCATTAATCAACTGTTTAAAGTAATGGGATATTATGGTTCAGAGCCACATCAGAAATCAACATCATACTTTTGAACCGCTGTTCAAAACAGTAATCCTATATAATAAAAGTGTAATATGCAAATTGCCCCCTTGACAGAGAGTTCGGCCAGGGGGCGGGGCCAGCCAGTCAACCACCCACATACCCTCCCCCTGCCCGATGATTGGCCCTATTGGGGCGGGCCAGCCAGACCCCACCGGTGCACAAATTTGTGCACTGGGCCTCTAGTCTTTCATAATCTCCCACGAGTTTTCACTCAAACTCCTGAAAACCCATATTCTACATTCAAGTGAGGCTGGGGAAAGGGTAGGTGGTGAAAGGCCATACTGTATTTGATTACTAAAGATATTTTGTGTATGTTTTTGCTTTTCAATGTCCTCACATTAGACTTTTAGTTTATTTCTTCTTTCCTCATTTTTTGTTATTTTTCCAGTTTTTGTTAAATGCTTAAGTCCTTTAATCACTATGAACATCATCTTTCTCCAACCATTTCTCTACATAATCCAAATCTACATTATTCTGAGTTTTGTGGTGAGGCTGTGAATGAGGTTGAGTTTGTGTCTGACTGTGACCAGGGGTCTGATTCACCCACACTGCCTTCTGGCTGCCCACCAGGCCCTGACATGGAGTATGCCTACAGCAAGCATGTCAAACTCGTGGCCCACAGGCCACATGTAGCCCACACTGAATATTTTTGCAGCCCAGACAACATAATGGTATGTAAGAAACATTTTAATAAAAATTTCGTAACTTAATTTTTATAATATCCTGTTATACATAATTATTAATAACGTTTGCTAATGACTGATTACTACAATCATGTTGCATTCATTTCCCTTATGCGCAGGCACACCATTTTTGTCCACTAATACTAGCAGTGAATATTTTAGCAGCCAACTGCCCTGTCATTAGTCTTGTACTGACTTGTTTGGTTGCACAACAGAAAATATTTCGCTTTCAGAGAACAAGGAAAATAGGTTTATTTGCTCTATGTTTATTAATTTGTGCAGTTATTCAGTGTCTGGTAAATTAATGTTCAAGAAAAAATATTAATTTTTATTAAAATGTTCTATTTTATGTTAATGATTACTCATTTATTTCAGCCCTTTGTATTCAGCATGTCTCTATTGAAATACTAGTAAACCTATGTTCCTATGGAAATTGAAACTTTTGGGTGTTTGTGGCCCACATAAACTTAAACCTTGTTTATTTGGCCCGTGTTAGCCTTTGAGTTTGACATGCTTGACCTACAGCACTAGTCCACTTGGGGCCTCGGATCTTTACCCTGCAGGCTTTCCTCTTGTCCAGGAAGAAATGAGAAAACTACTAATACAATGCCTTCTTCCCAGGGATGGCCACCTCTTCCAAGTACCATAATTGTGTTTAGTGTGCGCATGTTTTTTTTTAAGAGAAAATGTTTTAAAATAAATCACTGACTCATGGTGATAACTCCACACTATAACAGACCCAAACTATTGGGAACCTTGAATTCTGTGTAGGGTCCCCTTAAAATCACATAAGAGAAAAAGGACCGGATATAAAACAAAAGGCACAGAGATTCTCAATGACTTCTCGTGCAACCTGAGCAGGGTCTGCCCTAAATGCACCTCAGCTTCTCAGCTGTAAAGTGAAAGTTAGTGTGAGTGAGTGAGAGAGAGAGAGTGTGTGTGTGTGTGTGTGTGTGTGTGTGTGTGTGTGTAAAAGACAGAGAGACAGAGTTAAGCCAGGGACCAGACAAGCTGTTTCGTAGGTTCCTTTTAGATCCAAGCTTATGAGCTACACCAGGTGGTACTTCCTCTGACGGAGTCTTCATCTACTAAATAATGCAATGTAAGAACATGCAGAAGGAAATAGATTTCTTTTATAACCAACCTCAAATATTAGTTAAGAACAAATACTAATCATCTTTACTTTTCATCTAAAGAATACTCTTTTTGTAGCAACTGGCCCCATCCCATAAACCCAAAGATGTTGTTAATGACATATTTAGGTACTTGAAGTTACTTCATAAGTAACATTATAAAAAATAAGTGCCTCACTAGAAAGCACTCTCTATCATAATCTTTATGCCTGCAATGATAACTGAACTGAAATCATTTCAAAATATTTATTTAAAAATGTGTTCATGGGAAATCGTGTAAAGACTTGCAAGTGAACTTGAGCCTTTGGACATAATCTTGTTCATAGGTCCTTTACTGGTTATCTGTGCAATATTGGAAAACAGACCTAGGTATAATGTTTTCACTTGACATAAGTCAAAAATTTGAGAGCACCAGCTATTTGCAAGGTGCTATTGTGGGAGATATGAACATGATTAAGGTATGGCCCCTATAATCAGAAGCCTACAATTTATCTAGTGTGGGTGGTGAGATAAATACACAAAATACAAAGAACGAAGGAAGAACAAGCTCTACAGAAGTAAACATGTGAGAATGTAATACAAAGCACCCCCCCAAGTGCTTCTGTTTCATATGTGAGCTATAATTATCCCATAGCTTCTTATTGTGTTTGTTGTTAAGCGTATAAATTCCTACTACAACCAAGTCACTGTGGAAGGCTTTCCAGAACCCTAAAATACATGAAGCCAAACTAGGTTTAATGCTCTGAGACATAATGATTTTAAAAGTATATAACAAGAGATTTAAATTTTTGTAAAAATAAGAACACATTGAAAGACATTCAGAGAAAAAGAAACCCATGTTACCATGTAGCTCAATGTTTTTTGCATGTTCATTTCTAGTTTCTGTCCTTGTCCATGTGCATACACAATAGAAGATTCAAATCACAGGAGAGTATGCCAAGGGGTTTATAACCACTTATCAAACAAATCCTATGCATAGTAATTGCTCTGCATCAGAGACCAACAAAAGGGATTATTCTGGTTTGATGTGATCTGAGACTTTCACAGAAAACTTGAAGAAAGGTACAATTTTAATAGAGGAAGACAGCCAAGTGCATTCCAGGAGAATGGTATAGTATCATCAAAGTCAGGAGGTCAAAAAATGAGGAACGTA